AGCCACAGGGACACAATGGGCCCCATTTGGAAATACAGTATGCACAGTGGAAGTAGCCCCCAATTTCATATATCTATATTGGCACAGAAGCCGAGGGGCCTGGCAAGTAAGTACTTGCCCTTGCATTCACTCTTCCAAAAGTTCTGTAGTGCTCTGCCCATAGAGGTAGGTCTATGAAATACAGAAGACACAGGTGGACTGTTCCTGGCTTATCCTCTCATCTCTCAACATTCCAAAAGCTAACTTTGGCTCCTAGCATGACAACCAGAAGCCTTGATCTCTAAAGGAACACTCTTCCCTCATCCCCACCAAGCGTAGAGCTAATTTTCTTCTACACAGCTCCTGTTCACTACTTCATAGATGGTGAAGCCATTTCTTCCTCTTCTGAAGAGAAATGCTGCTACTAATTCTTTTTTAAATGGAAAAGAGAGGATTTGTGGAGATTGCAAATAGGCATTCTTAACCTGATTATATTGCAATAATTTAGAAAAGATTATTCAACGGACATTTTGTGAGTACACAGAATAAGATGCTGCAATCACAAAGTCTCAGTCTGGGATCACAGTCATGCCACAGACCTTATTTCCATTTTTGATGGGATTACCTGTTCAGTGCCATTGGCAGGTACATCTTTATTGTGGCAACGGGTAGATTGCAGCTTAATGTCATTAAGCATTTAGATCAGATAGATAACTCCTCTTGTTCTGATCCACACTCACCAAAGAAACTTCTGATTATAAACTGGCATCCTGCACATTTGCTTCCAGAAAGAGAACTGGCTAGAGGATGGGAGTGTCAAGTCTCTTCTGCAATACTTGCCTGTTGTAAATTCAAATTAGCTCTCTATCTTATAATTCAGTTTCTTGTGAATTTAGAATACTGTAAAGATAAAGAGAACAGACTTTCAAATCAGTACTGGATTCAAATCTCATTCACTTTGTAACTTTGAGCTAGTCTCTTAATCTCTCAATCTGAGTTTACCTCTAAAAATAGAGATAGTAATGACTACATCAAATGGCTGTGGTATTAAATGAGATGAAACACAGAAAGAGCTTGGCACAGCACCAGGGATTTAGAGTTTTCAATTCATTCGTTATTTCATTTAAGAGTAGCTGTTATTGCTTTTATTTAGGGAATTCATTCCAGAAAGACTAATCTACAATCAGGATACCAATTAAATCATGTTCCTGAACCCACAGAGCTGAGAATCTGACCCTGGATGAAGGTGAACACTCTGAAGACCCTCAGGTAAAGTCTCTTAACCAGCCAGCCAGCCATCCTTGGTGACTTCAACCAAGCCATGCTCACTTATTTTCAACTTCCACTTTATACCATATTTTGATTTTTACCATGACATTTGGCAAAGTCTCTAATGGTATAGTAGTAGACAAGATGGAAACATATGGGCTAGAAGAGCCAGTAGTATTATTGAGCAGACTTGCAGTTACTTCTACACAGTGTGGTTACTGTATTAAAAGAGTCTTTAAAGGGAAAAAGCTCATTCACTCAACATATATTTTTTTGAATTCCTATTTGGTGCTAGGCACAATGGATATAATGGTCTGCCCTCAGCTTACAGACTAGCAGGGCAGACAATAAATAATCAAGCTAATCACAAAGTGAGACACAGAAAACTTCCTTGAGAAACGGATGACTTGCATGAGACTGAAGGATGATTGAGAGTTAAGACACTCAATAGTAAATAGACAAATGACCCGATTTAAAAATGGACAAAGGATTTGAATAAACATGCCTTCAAAGAAGATATACAAATAGATGGCCAATAAGCACATGAAAAGATGCTCAACATCATTAGTCATCTAGGAAATACAAATAAAAACCACAATGAGATAGCACTTCACACCCACTAGGATGATTATAATCAAAAAACGGACAATAACAAGTGTTGTTAAGGATGTGGAGAAATTGGAACCTTCATACACTGCTGGTGAGAATGTAAAACAGTGCAGCTATATTTGGAAAATAGTCTGTCAGTTCCTCAAATGGTTAAATATGGAGTTACCATATGACCCAGTAATTCTACTCAGAAAGTATATAACAATAAATATGGAAAACATAATGTACACCCAAAAATTTGTACAGGAATGTTCATAGCAGCATTATTTACAATAGCCAGAAAGTGGAAGCAATCTAAATGTTCGTCTACTGATGAATGATAAAAGAAATATGGTCTACTCATACAATGGAATACTATGCAGTCATAAAAAGGAATGAATACTGATACATGCAACAACATGGATAAACCTCAAAAACAATATGCTAAGTGAAAAAGCCCATCACAGACCTCATATTGCATGATTTCATGTATATGAAATGTCCAGAACAGGCAAATCTATAGAGATAGAAAGTCGATAAGCAGAACAGGGAGTGACTGCTAATAAGTATGGGGTTTCTTTAGAGAGTGATGAGAGTGTTCTCAAATTGAATTGGTACACTGTAAGAAGGTGAACTGTATGGTATGTGAATATCTCAATAAAGCTGTTACAGTAATAATAATAATAATAATTAGGAGAAAGGAGGAAGAGGGTTGGATTCCAGATAGAGTGTGGAAAGGAACTGAAGGAACAGGCAGTGTGATGGGACTACAGTGGGCAAGGCCGTGCAGTGTGGGATGAGGCTGAGAAGTATACGAAGGTCAGGCCCCACAGGGCCTTGTAGGTCTCTAACCTGAGAGCAATGTGTAGCTGTTAAAGCCACCAGCATCAAGGCGAGCTACACTGGATAGTTTGCTGGATGAGTTGAGATTTTTTAAAACTGCCTAGCTTTTTTCCCACATTTTGTGTCCTACAAAATAGTCCTCCAAATATCCAAAGGATAGAGAAAAGGGTGCAGAACTGGCCTATGGTGCACCAACGGACTAGGGCCAATAGCTAGAGGGCTTATTTGAGCTCATTTTAAGGAAACTTTCATAATAAGCAGAGCTCTCTAATAACAGGACAGTTAAGGCAGCTCCTCAATACCAGCAGTATTCCTGCAAAGGTGCGATACCTACATGGGATCTGTAGAGTACTCTAGCATTGGGTGGGAGATCAGGCAAAATGACTTCTAATACTAAAACCCATTCAATCACTAAGAGTCTATGAAGAGCAACAGAACCCCTTTCACTTTTCTAAAACTATTCATGAAGAAGCCCCTTTCTTACTCATTAACAAAGAAGGCTCTTTCCCAGTTGCTGGATTTAACCATTAGGCACAAAGTCATAGTCCTAGACAAAGAGCACAACCTTTCATTAAGATAATTATCAATTTTCCTATTTTAAACATATTTTATACTACTAATGTAAATGCAAAAATGCTTAAATCCAGAAACCCCAGCACAGCTGTCTTCCGAACTCCCTACCTGGGGACAAAAAGAAGGGCTGCTGCAATGGCTTCATGCTCTGCTCTGTACCCAACTAGTGAAGTGACCCTGGCAAACAGGGGCCCAGATATGGCTGCCCCTCCCTCCCCTCCACCTCCTCAGTACCCAGGGAAGAGGAACCCTAACATACAAGGTGCTAAGAGCATTTCCCAGACCTCTTCATGAAACCAGAGAATAGCTGAAACAGGGGGCAAACTTCAAATGAAAAAATTTTAGGACTGAAACTAGAGGAATGAGGTACGTCCAAGAACTTAGGACCACGGGGCCAGTCCTCCATCATCGCTTTGTCAGTTAGGCATACACCCAGCTGAGGCCAAGTCAAAAATGTACATTAAAAGGGAGCTACCCTGAAAAGAGTATGGTTGTTCCTCAAAAAATTAAAAATAGAATCACTACAGGATCTAGCAATAACACTTCTGGTTCTATACCCAAAAGAATTGAAAGGAGGATCTCAAAGAGATATCTGTACGCCCACGTGCATGGCAGCATTATTCACAACAGCCAAAAGATGGAAGCAACCCAAGTGCTCATCAATGCACGAACTGAAAAGCAAAACGTGGTATATACACAACAATGGAATATTATTCAGCTTTAAAAGGGAAAGAAATTCTAACATATGCTACAACATCGGATGAACCTTGAAAACCTTGTTAAGTGAAATAATGCAGACACAAAAGGACAAATACGTATGCTTCCACACATATGAGGTCCCTAGAGTTAGTCACATTCAGAGACAGAAAGTAGAGTGGTGGTTGCTGGGGGCTGGGGGTGGGGACGAGGGGGCAGGGGACGGGGAGTTAAGTGTTTAATGGGCTCAGGGTTTCAGTTTGGGAAGACGAAGTTCTAGACACGGATAGTGGCGACGCTTGCACCATAATGTGAATGTGCTTAATACTACTGTACTGTATGTACACTTTTAAAAGCGTAACAATTAAAAACGGATAAAATGGTAAATTTTATGTTCTGTATATCTATCTACCACAAGTAAAAATAAAAAAGGAGCAACCCTGCAGTAAGTACGAGGAACCTTTACATTCGCCAGACCCTTAGCGAGGAGAGACACATACTCGTAAGGAGGCGCCCAACTCAACAGTTTGGTTTTTTCTTATTTTTTCACCGCTCCTGGGAACCTGAGGGTGTGAGACGAGGGAATGGGGCTGCGTCCCCAGCAGTCCGGAGAGCGGCTCCGTGTCCCCGCGCAAGGGCTCCGGCAGCGCCAGCCCCACGGCTGCAGCGTAACCGACACGGCAGCCGCGCGCCCCGCCCACCCCGCCGACAGCGGCTCACAGGCCCGGGGCCCTACTCAGAGGGCTGCGCGTTCTTCCAATCAAAGGGCCTCAGGGGAGGGCGCTGCAGCGTAACCGACACGGCAGCCGCGCGCCCCGCCCACCCCGCCGACAGCGGCTCACAGGCCCGGGGCCCTACTCAGAGGGCTGCGCGTTCTTCCAATCAAAGGGCCTCAGGGGAGGGCTCGGAGGGCTACAGCCAACCGCAGAGCAGCTATTTCCTGTGGTCCCACCCTCCCCTGCTTCCGACTGGCGAGTTTCAAACCCGCAGGAGCCAATGAGAGTGCGCGGACGCGGGGCGCGCCGGACTTGCCTCCAGGCGCGGACTTTGAAGAGAAACTGTCGCAGAGCAGTCATGGTGGGACCCGGGCCCGCCGCCTCTGTCGGTGAGTATGACCGCGAGCCCGTGTTTCAGGAGCTGGAGCATGGGCGGGAAAGTAGGGCGACCACCGAGTGAGTTCTTCTCGCGGAAGTTGCCCGCCCGCTCTCTTGCCTGCCTCAGTTTCCCCCGGGCATTTCCGGTCCTGGAGCGGAGACGTCTGGGCCCGGGATGGGGGAGGTTGTGCGCCGCGCCAAATGCCTCACGGGCATCTTAGGAGTTAGTGCTGCAGCAGTCCTGCAAAACCATGTCATCACCACGTTCTAGATAAACGGAGGCCCCTCGTGGGTCACACCACCAGTGCGAAGCGGCGCGCTCCTTCGACCCGCATTGCTCCAAGCCGGGCCCGGTGTGGTCCTCTGCTCCGTGGCCCGAGCTTTGACAGCTGGCGGGAGGCGGGTCTCACCCGAACCCGGTCTTTTGCCTGCGCCGGGCGCCTTCCTCTACGCCTCTCGAGCCTCTGCGGACTGGAAGTTGATTGGTTAAATCTGCACTCGGGGGCTAAGAATCCTGCCTTCCCTGACCTCTTAGATATGTCTGGAGCCTTCTCTGCTCTTCAAACACTCCTCTCAGATGCCACCTTCTCCAATATGCACACCGTGTTTTGATAGTTTAGTCAATTACGCCTGCTGATATCTACTAGGCAGTTTACATAACAGCCCTTAACACAGTGTTGACGTAAGTCGATGGGCATTTCTTTCCCCACTTTCTAGGCTCAGCAGCAGCAAGACTTTGCGAACTTGCTAGAAGTCACAGAGCTGGGACTCCAACCCTATATGTCAGACTCCTGACATGATGCCCCTGCTGGATACTGCCTGGCATGAACCTAGTGTTCTGTTTCTCTCCTAAGGACGCATCAGAGTCAGAGAATAAAACACATGCAACTCACTTCAGATGAGGTTAAGCATGGATTTGCACCCCTATGGTCTTTCTTTTTTTAATCATTATTTAATTTTAGCCTTTTCCAACCACCTGCTCCCCTCACCCATTCCCACCTCTGAATTCCCATTCTTTCTTTGACCCTCTCTTATGGCACGTAGGTTTTGCCTTACCATTGTAATTATTGTTGTGTTTATGTATCTCCACTATTAGATTGAAACTTTTTGAAGGCAGAAATATTGACTTTTCATCCCCCCCAAATGCCTTGCTTAGAAAGTCAACATGTACATGTTTTCCATGAGTCCCCTAACCTGACCTATTGTTTCTTAGTCCCAAAAGAAACTGTGTAAGGGTTTGTGGGTAAAAATCATCATCCCAGTCAGAAAAAAACAGTAAGATCAGTCCAGGCTCACCAACTTGGTCCGGCTGAGACAGAACTTCTTCATGCAAAGCATAGTATGTCATAGCTGAGAACATTGCTTAGCTGAGCAAGGTCTCTGGGATTAGATAAACCTGTTATCAAATCCTGGCTTTGCCACATATTAGCTGGGAAACTTTACCTCATAGGACTGTTGTGTGGATTAAAAGAAGTAACGTAAGTATAAAGAGCTTAGTATAGGGCTTGGCATATAAATTATATTGTTGGTGTTGATATTAACTTGAAGGCAAACTTATAGAGCTATGGACTTGATAACATGCTGCAAAGCCAAAATCATTACAAAGAAGTGTCATCTTTCTGAATATTAACGAGCTAGTTAAAATCTTGAACTCGAGTTCTGTTTGTTTCTTGCCTGTTTCACAGAAGAGCGGCAGAGAAAGCTCCAGGAGTACCTAGCAGCCAAGGGAAAACTGAAGAGCCAAAACACCAAGTGAGTTTCTCTACCCACAGTTAAGCAAATTTTGTTGGCCTCGTTGCTAATAGCAATTTAAAGCCTTTTGAAAACAGCCTTTTTGCTGGCAGTGTACTCAGACTGCATTGGAATTCTATTATAACTCAAAACAGGCATTTCAGTCCAGGCATGACAATAACCCCAAGCAGTGCCTAGTCCATTGGCAAACAGGTAAGCATTATTATTGTGACAGTCTCCAAAAGAAGAAGGGAAGGGTCTACAGTATTACCCACCATGCTGGAAGCTTTTCCTCTTCCTGTTTTTTTTTTTTATCCTGGGAAAGTTGATTTTCTGAAGGCAATTTTTGGTCAAGGAAATGGACGACCCTGGTTCTGGTGTTTCTTGCTAAAGCAAGAGAGCCAGTTAGAATCAGTCCTCTCTAGTGGCACACTGACATCCTCTAGCCTGACGGCGCTCTTGGTCATTCCCAGTATTTACTCTTGAGATGCGGCAGAGTACCACTTCACTTTTTTATCTTGTCAGCATCTTACCATCTTACTGGTATTATTTATCCCTCTTGCTTAGCATTTCTCCTTCCTTGGGATACTAAATTTTTACTTAAAAATTCATTTTTAGAAAATTAGCTTTCACCCTTTATTTTACCTTGGGTTTTTACTCAACTTTATTTTCTTGTTTAGATGAACCTAATTCATTTATTTAGTATCTTTAACATATCAATCACTTTTTAAAAAAATTTTATCGAAACATTTATTGTACATAAGAGGTACAGAGTTATATTTCAATACACATATACAATGTGTGGTGATCTAGTCAGGGTAATTAGCCTATTCATCATTGTAAAACAATCATTTCTTTGTGATGTGCACATTTGATCTTTTCTAGTCATTTGGTTACATGCAGAAAATCTATTGATTATACATCGACTGTACATGAATAGGGCTTATTTTTCCTATCTTGCTGTACTTTTTGTGTCCATTAATCAGCCTCTTCCTTCCACTCTCCTTCCCTTTTCCACCTCTATAACCACAGTTATTCTCTCTCCCTTTACCAGTTCAACTTATTGTTATTATTTATTTGGTTTTTTGTTTGTTTTGTTCTCTTTTTTAGCTCTCACATATGAGTGAGAACATACAGTATTTCTCTTTCTGTGCCTGGCTTATTTCACTTAACATAATTTTTTCCAAGCTCATCCATGTTGCTGCGAAAGTCAGAATTTCATTCTTTTTGATGGCTGAGTAGTATTCCATTCTGTATATGTACCACATCTTTATCCAATCATGTGTTGTTGATGGACATTTAGGTTGGTTCCATATCTTGGCTACTGTGAACAGAGCTGCAATAAACGTGGGAGTGCAGGTATCCCTTTAACATGATGACTTCCATTCCTTTGGGTATATTCCCAAAAGTGGGATTCCTGGATCGTATGGAAGATCTATCTGTAGTTGTTTGAGAAACCTCCATACTGTTTTCCATAATGGCTGTACTAATTTACAGTCCAAACAACATTGTATAAGGGTTCTTCTTTCTCTGCATCCTCGCCAGCATTTGTTATTTTCTGTCTTTTTGATAATAGCCAGTCTAACTGGGGTGAAATGGTGTCTCGATGTGGTTTGATTTGCATTTCCCTGATGATTAGTGATGTTGAGCATTTTTTTATATACCTGTTGGCCACTTGTATGTCTTTTGAGAAATGTCTACTGAGCTCCTTTGCCCATTTTTCAATTGGGTTATTTGCTTTTTTACAATTGAGTTGTTTGAGTTCCTTGCATATTCTGGAAATTAGTCTCTCATCAGATGCATAGTTTGATATCAATCACTTTTGATGCTGGAGATATGGTGTTTAACAAGACAGAGGTCCCTGGCCTCTCAGGGCTTATGTTCTAGATGGAAGAGAAAAATATCAAACAAGTCATGATCGAAGTCTCTGTTAGTCTAGCAGTTGTTTTTGGTCCATGGAGATTGAATCCTTCTAAATTCTCCTCTGTTCTTCTATCTTTTTCCTTTTTTTTTCCCATTTTCTGCCTCACTAGCTAGATTTCATGGTGTCCCTGTTTTGTTTTTTTGTTTTTTAAATTATATCTCTTTTTCCCCCTGAAAACCCACTATTTGAAGACACTTAAAACAAGGAAGTTTTTTAAAGAAGCAGTTAGTTGTCTTATTTGGCATTGTAGCTCCAGTATCTGGCACATTGCAGTGTTCAAGGAATGATGTTTGAATGAATGAGACTATGAAAATATGAAGAAAACACATGTACTCATATTTCATTAATATTGTTAGAACACTACATTTATGCATAGGATGTTTCTGAAAGGATCACAAAAAAAAATGGGTAAGAGCAGTTATGGTCTTTGAGGAGGAGAATACAGGACTAAGGAAGTGATGATAAGGATATTTTTATTGAATATAATTTTGAATTATTTTGCCATATACAGAAATTCTAATGAGTTAAAAGTCTAATCATAATTTTCAATTACTATACTTCCCAAGCCTTGACAATTCTATAGTAAGGATTAATTTTATTTTGTCTTTTATAGGCCCTATCTGAAAGCCAAGAATAATTGCCCGAATCAAGCACTTTCTAAATCTGTAAGTAGAAATTAGCCTTCTAAGAAATATTCATTTTGGAAGTATGATTAGTAATAAAAATAACAAAGATGTTAGCAACCTAAAGAATATGTATTTCAAAGATATTTCTTATGAATATAGGAGCACTTTGGTTTAATGAGATACAATAATTTTTTGAAAAGTACAACGTATTGTAGTTTCGTTTTATTAACCAAGAAAAACCTTAAGGGGACTTTGGTTCTCTTAACAGCTAGCATTTGTTGAATACTTACTGTTTCTGACCTGCATTAACTCATTGAGTCTTCACAACCTTATGAGATAAGTACTATGAGTAGCCCCATTTTAAAGATCAGGGATCTGAGTCACAGAAAGGTTAAGTAGCTTCCCAAAGTCATATAGCTATTAAGTGACAGCTGAGAGTCTGTGGTCTTAACCACTTTGGTATGCTGCCATACAGTTAATTAGCTCAGTAGTCATTAAAAGAGAACACCTGTGTTGGGTCTTCCACACTGCTTAACAAGAATATGCTATCTAGGGCCGGCCCGGTGGCGCACTGGAGAGTGCGCCGCTTGGGAGCGCGGAGGCGCTCCCGCCGAGGGTTCGGATCCCATGTGGAGACCAGTTCCCGCTCACTGGCTGAGCGCGGTGCAGGCGCAACACCAAGGGTTGCGATCCCGTTGCCGGTCCCCAGTACGGGCGCGACACCGAGGGTTGCGATCCCGTTACCGGTCAGTAAAAAAGACAAAAAAAAAAAAGAATATGTTATCTAATCAATTCAGTTCAACGAGCTTGTAGATAGAATGATAAAGGATCCTAACATACCTAAATTAGCCTTCTGGAAGGGGCACAAATTCTTCATCCGCAATAAAATAATCCACAAAAATCCCACCATTCATTTTTAAAACCATAGTTTTATCTAAGTTTTAAAGTGTAACTGAAATTATGTTGCCCAAAGTGAAACATTGGTGCCAGTTTTTTGTTTCTTTGTTTGTTTTTGTTTGTTTTGTTTTGGTTTGGTTTTTTGTGACCGGTAAGGGGATTGCAACCCTTGGCTAGGTGTCGCCCGCACCGCGCTCAGCCAGTGAGCGCACCAGCCATCCCTATATAGGATCCGAACCCGTGGCGGGAGCGCCGCTGCACTCCCAGTGCTGCACTCTCCCAGGTACCAGTTTTGATAAGATTTAATGGTTCATGCACTATGTATGTACACACACACACACACACACACACACACACACATACATATACACACACACGAGAGTACTTCAAAAAGTTCATGGAAAGATTTGTATTATCTTTTAATTCTGTCTTTCCACAAACTTTTGGAAGTGCCCTTGTATATATGTATGCATACACATATGTGTATATGTGCATATATGGACATGTATATGCCATGTGTATATATGACGTCATTAGACACTGGAGAATAGAAAAATATAAGGCAAATTTGGTGCATGATGATGTGAATAGTTGGGAAGCACTTGGTTCAACTTCTACTTCATGCAAATTGAACCAGTGTAGGATGCAAAGCTTAAAGGAAAAATTTGCCGGAAAGGGCCCTTACTCAGAGTTCCCAGAGGCTTCTCTAGAAGTTAACAGTGCTGACTTTAGTAAATCATCTCTTAAATGGGGGTGATTCCTACCTTATCTGCTTTACACAGTTGTAAAGATAAAAATAAAGTGGGGAGGGAAATTATGGAACTTAGGAGAAACTAAAAGCAGTATACAAATAACAGTCATCACAACAATTGTGTAATGCTTTACAATCTATAAAACATTCAGGTACTGGGCAAGACACACATATCACCTCAGTACTCAAAACAACCTTATAAGAAGGTTGGCCATATGATTTGATGTTCAAACCAGGACACCTTCAAGAATAAAAGGAAATGCTGTTAATAATTATGTTGGGGGCTGGCCAGTTAGCTCATTTCATTAGAGTGAGCCTTGTAGCACCAAGGTCATGGGTTCAGATCCCCGTACAGGCCAGCCACCAAAAAAAAAAATCTTCCTACAATAAATATTGGGCCAAGAAGCATAAATCAAAACTGTCTTGTGAAAACCAGGACATATGACATCCTTCCTAGAAGACAGATATTATTATTATTATTCCCTTTTTACAAATGAGAGGACTGAGGCTCAGAGAGATTAAGTACTTGACCAAAATTATATAGCCAGTGTATTAGTCAGTTTCTGTTGCTTATAACAAAATACATGGAACTGGTGATTTATATGAAAACAAAATTTAATGCTTACAGTTTCTGAGGCTGGGATGTCCAAAGTCCAGGGAACACATCTGGTGAGGATCTTGGTGGTGGCAACAGTGACCCAGGGTTCTCACACTGCAAGATGGTGGAAGCAGAGAGAGAAAGACGTAATCCTCTCTCCTTTTAAAGCCCTCAGAACCACGCCCCTGACTACCATTTTTAATCCATTCACTGTGGCATGGTCCTACAATCTAATCACCTCTTCAAGGCTCCACCTTTCAGTTACCATAATAGGATTTCCCACCCTCTTAACAGTCACAGTGAGGGCCAAGTTTCTAAATCATGAAACTTGGGGGACACGATTCAAGCTTTTGCAGGATATAATTCAATCCACTACAGCCAGTAAGGGTCAGATTCAGGACTTGAATAAAGCTTTTCCAGAGTACCTTACTACAGTGTTACTACCTAAAGGAACACACAAAGTTGTTTTTTTGTTTTCCTGTTCCCCTATCCAAGAGTTTTCACATATTGACTGGGATTTGAAAAGAGTCCTTGGAGCCATGCTCTTAAATTTACTCAAGAAATTGTAACGTACAATAGTTAAAAACTGCCTAAGTCCACATCCTAACTCCTTCATTGTCTGGCTAAGTGAGCTTGGGCAAGTTACTTTATCTGTAAAATAAGGAGACATCTCATAGAGTTGTTTTAAAGGATTAATTGAGTTAACTATTGATTTATACTTAAGAATGTCCACACATTGGTTTATGAGTTCCTCTGGAGGTACATGTTGGGTATGCAGGGACACTCTTTAACAGAATCACATCCAGATCTTCAACTTTCACACATGCTTTTACCTAAAATTGATTTGTTGAAGAATGTGCCTCACATACAGTTTCTCCTTTCCCACTTCTCTTAACACTGTCATCCTTCTTCCACTTTCTAATTTTTTCCTTCTCTGCCTGATTTAGGCAACCACTCTCTCATCACATCCGTAATCTTGATGTTATAATTTACCCTGGGATGGAAATATCTCCAGGATACAAAATCAAGAAACAACTCGAAATAATAGTGTTGACATTGAGAAAATCTTTTGTAGTTCAAGTGGCTTCCGATTCTTTGCATTCAACGTTGTCATCAGATAGAACATTAAAAATTATTTTTTTGCCAAGAGATTTTTAGCACATACCTCTAGATGTGTTCAAAAAATGGAGTGTTACTGCTGTAACAAAACAGTTTCTTGTTCACATTAATAAGTAGATGGGATAAGTTTTCTAATGTTTTTATTTAAAAAGAAAAAGGAAGAAAATTAATGCAGAACTCTGTCTCATTCTAGCAATAAATAGTATTAAATACATGAACTAATTATGGGGTACAGAGTTTGTCAAAATTATCTTGGGAGTATATGAACAAAAATATTTGAGAACCACTGATAAAGTGTGCTGTGCAGTCCCTTCTAACTCTACAATAGCCTTATTTTGTTACATCATAATTTTCTTGTGTTTATATCTTTTCTACTAGAACTCCTCAGAGGCAAGTGTCATCTCTCATGTTTGTATCACCTTAAGAGTGCCTCGTATACAATCAGCATTCAGTAAATCTCTCTTGGTTTAAACCCTAGTCCTATCCTTAGTAAATTTTCTCCCTTCTCTGTTGTCATATTTGGTACAGAATGAAGAGACCAAATTTGATTTGAATCAATTGTTTCTTCTTCTGCTTTCTGTCTTTTTTTTTTTTTTTGACTGGTAAGGGGATCGCAACCCTTGGCACGGTGTTGTCTGCACCACGCTCAGCCAGTGAGCACACCGGCCATCCCTATATAGGATCCAAACCCACGGCCTCGGCACTACCAGCACCACACCCTCCCGAGGGAGCCACAGGGCTGGCCCCCTGTCTTCGTTTTTTATCAACTCAATCCATCAGTTCTGTGGTGGGTTGAAAAAGACCAGTAGTTGGAGACCAGGGTACAGAGACTGAATTTCTAACTCTAACCCTGCCTCTTACTCCCTGCCTAACCTTGGGCAGTTCACTTTCCCTCTCAAATGAAGGGGCTGAATTTAATGATCTCTAAAGTCCTTTCCAGTTGTAATGGTCTATATTCATATTTTGGATGCAGGCTATTCTGCTAGCCTGATGACTCTTCTAAACCCAGCTTTTTTCTCTCAAAGGAGTGCCTAAAACTGCATGACGAGTTCTACTACCTATGATAAGTTAGCAAGGTCAAGCTGATCTAAAATGAAGATAAAAAAATATGCAAGAAAGAAAATAGTTATAAATCATATATCTGATAAAAATCTAGTATTCAGGATACTTAAAGAACTCTTACAACTCAACAATTAAAAAACATACAACCCAATATAAAATTAGCAAAGGATCTTAATAGACATCTCTCCAAAGAAGGCATACAAATGGTCAATAAGGACCTGAAAAGATGCTCAACATCATTAGCCATCAAAGAAATGCAAATAAAAATCACAGTGTGATACTACTTCACACCCGCTAGGATGGCTATGATCAAAAAGACAGATAATAAGTGTTGGGGAGGACATGGAGATACTAGAACCCTCCTACATTGTTAGTGAGAATGTAAAATGACACAGCCACTTTGGAAAACAACTCGGTGGTTACACATAAACATTGAGTTACCATATGACCCAGCAATTTTACTTCTAAATATAAATCCAAGAGAATTAAAAACATATGTCACATAAAAACTTATTCACAAATGTTTGTAGCAACATTGTTCATAATATCCAAGAAGTGGAAACAACACAAATGTCCATCAGTTAATGAACAGCTAACCAAAATGTGGTATAT